CATTTCTGAGGAAAACATAGATACTTGACATTTGTAGGGCACCACACTGGAGGGGAGTTAGATTGTGCCGCATTCCTTTCGATGACATTGTATCATCATGGAGCTAGGTTTTCCAGGACTGCTGTGATAAAAATCAAGTACTGGGCACAAATTAAAGTGGATTATGAGGGTGGCAGTTGTTTGCTCCCAAACAACTATTTTTTAATTTTATTTAAGAACACTAGCACTCATTCCAAGGAACATCTGCATTTACCAATGGGTAGTCCTCAGGCAGTTCTCATCTGACTTCCAACTACATTATCTAAGTATTTCCAGGTATGTACATCTGATCAAATACACAGGTGTGAAACTGCACAGTCCAGAACAGTCACCTAGCTGCATAAATACTTCTATCTGTTAGAGTTCTGCACAGAAAGTTCTAGAAACGGGAGTCTGTAAGGCTTTTTTCCCCCCAGGTTTTTCTAACACTGAGAACACAGACAGTCTCATGGGAACTAACCTTTTGGAAATTACCTTAGATTCTGTACCCAAAAATCTAATCTAATTCACGCAAACTTGGAATTAAAATAGAGTAGTTAGTTCAACTCCTTTATACTGTTTTGCTATCTGTCACACTTGGATAAAGATTGTGGTAATGAAATGAATGTATCCAGTTGTTCTATAGTGTTTCTCTATCCCCTGTCAAACAACAGAATACATTTGTACAAGTCAAGCCTAAGACAAAAGTGGAGTCTGTGTCCACAGACTCTCAGAGAGCTCCTGGAGAATGCAATGAGCTGGCTTCTGAGCAGCCAGAATGTGAAGCCTGGACAGCCTATTTCACCGCTGCATGTTTTTTTCCAAAATACACACCCAGTCTCTCTCCACCTCATGCAGATCTAGCTGTTACCTTACAGTCATTTACATCTAGTCGTCCTCACCGTGTTCATAAGTAACAGTGTTCTAACACCTGAAATCACCATGGTCAAAAATTAATAAAAAGGATTAGAAAAATCCAGAATGTGGAAATACCCAGAGCACAGAGCTTCACAACATGCACAGTATCAAGTGTCATGTTGAGAAACAGAGATTTCTCCTCCAAGTTATCTAACTAGCCCTGGCACCCCTGGGCTCTCTGGCAACATGGACTGGGACCGCCTCTGACCTCCATCCCATCTGCCTACACACCTAGGTGGCTCCAGGTCTCCTCCCTCAAACATCCTCACCTTCCAACTGCATCATACCTTTCCACCAAACTCACTGAGACATTTTTTGAGTTCATCCTCACTCCTCTACAAAAAAGTCCTTAGTAAATGTTCTCTGTTGATGGCCTGCTTAGTCACAAATCCTATTCTCTTATGCTTGGTTTTGACTAATGAATTTATTATCTACACAGCTTTCAAATTAGGTGTGTTGCCCAAACACACACATACTTCCATTTGGCTTACTTCCTCCTGCTGCTTAACCAACAAATTGCCTGGGCAGAACTACTTGGAAGCTAATAATTTGCTGTCTCTACTTAGTGTCATATAGTCTCCTAGAGATTATAAAGCACAACCATCTCATTTTACCCAGGAGGAAATGTGGTGACCTAAGTTGGCCAGAGGAGCAAGCCAATTAATGATCAAACAAGACAATTCTGGCATGAATTTCTCTCGACCCTTCCCAGAATAAAACACATCACTTTTGTTAGACTCCATGTGTATGCACTAGCAATCATTTTGATGTGTAACTCAACATCCTCCCTACCCCATAGGAGACAACTCCTGATAACAGGCAGAGAAATCGATTCATCAGCAAAGAACATGCTTGTGTACTGACATGAGTCAAAAGCCAAAGCTACCAACAAAAAGACGCCATATTGATTGCCTGAATAACACATTCAAAGTGAAGCCTAAAAAGAGATGTGATCCTTTTTGACTGCTCCGGTCAACCACTCCCTCCCAAAGTTCACCCAACAGTTAATTCTGTCAACAGAATGAAGCAGCATATATTCTGAAAGGCCTGATCTTAGGTAGGCATGAAAAAAACAGACTGGAAAACACCAGAAAGTTATGGAAAAGCCATGAAAAAATGCATCATTTATTTCTCAATTCCAGTGATAAAATGCAGGCATAACTATTTGCCTAGTGAGGTGAAATTTAAGGATGAATTTTATGCTCAACAAGAATGACTTCTCAATTTGATTCTTGTAAATATTCACACGTGGTTAATCATACAAAACTATAACGAACGCATCAAGTTTTCCCCATTTCATCTAAGTCTGCCCACAGTAAACACCATGACACATGTACTTCTATGCCTTCTGTGCAAAGTGTGAAGCTGTTTTTATTTTTATTATTTTTTTTTAGTGACAAGGTCTTATTATTGCCCAGGCTGGAATGCAGTGGTGCAATCATGACTTACTGCAGCCTTGAACTCCAGAGCTCAAGTCGTCCTTCTGCCAGCCTCCAGAGTATCTGAGACATGCACCACCACACTCATCTAGGCTAATTTTTTAAAATTATTTTTAGTAGAGATGGGGTTCTCACTATGTTGCCCAGGCTGGTCTCAAACTTCTGGGCTCAAGTGATCCTCCTGTGTGGGTCTCCCAAAGCGCTGAGATTATAGGCATGAGCTACCACACTCAGCCTGTTTTGTTTTTTTAATTAACACCTGGCCCCTGTCCTTGAGTAGGCCAGGCAATAAATTCCATTCTAGGATGCTGTCAGAACCTAATCTTAGGACTGTGATTGGACTGTAAGCTTCAGGAAGGGTGGGACTCCCTACTGCCCTTCTCATCAGCACCTTTGTATGAGTGCCCCACAGGCTGTTCAGGCCACTGAAATAATGCAGAAACTAAACTTTCTAAGTCCACTTTAATGGCTCTGAATAGCTCTTAAGTTCTTTTTGTCATTTTTACCTTACAACAAAAAAACAAATTCTGCTACCAGAAATTATTTGCTCACTCTTTCATCTTTCAAATGAATATGCTTCTCAGTAAAGAGAATTTTCCCCTGCTCACTTAAAATGATGAGGTATCCCAAATAGGAAAATGATATTGCATTTGAAAAAGTATAAAAGCAGCTGAAATGTAAGCTCTGGGGTTACTGGAACAGCTGTAAAGCAGGGTTTCTCAACCCTGGCACTAGTGACATTTTGGGCTAGACAATTGTGGGGGGCTGTCCTGCAGGTTATAAAATGTTTAGCAGCAAAAATTAAAAATTAAATAACAAAAATAAAAATAAAAAAAGAATGTTTAGCAGCATCCCTGGCCTCTACCCACAAGAGGTCAGCAGCACCTTCCCTGTCCCCAGGTGTGAACCAAAAATGCCTCCAGGTGTTGCCAAATGTGTCCTAGGAGGACAAAATTGTCCTGTCTTCCAGTTGAGAACTCCGACTCTAAAATTACCCAGACCTGCTTTGAATTCCGGCCCCACCCCATCACAACCTGGGTCAGCTTGGAAAACAGACTGAACCTTCCTATGCCCCCGTAAATTCCTCATCTGTAACATGGAGCTCTTACTGAAGAAAGGCTATGAAAATTAAATGAAATGATATATGTGAAGGATTTACACGCACAGAATATTCACCCCAGAGTGAGTGTCCAATAAATGGTCAGAAATGAGGGGAGGTTAAAATAAATAATTTCTAGAACTTAAGGATCTTATCTTTAGGCCTCCAGAGTACTGTAGTCTAGTTAGAAGAAATGGTTGAGATAGAGACCAAAAGAGATGAGAGAGGCTGGGAAAGCGGTGATAGCACTAAGGTATTTCCCTTATCTCTAAGAATGTGGCTTGGAGTCAAAGTCAATTATGTTCTACTTAGACTCAAACATTTCAAATAATAAACAAAAAATATGCCCAGATCCCAAAAGTCTCCAAAAGACAAACTTTTTAGTATAAACGAGGAATTTACTCCAGCAGACACAAAAATACTAAAAGCACCAGACTACCACAACATGGTCTTAGATTTAGGAATCCAAACAACATACTACAGTTCTAGAGAAGCAATCATGACAACTTCATAATCTTCTAAAGGAAAAAGTAAAGGCTGGCTTCTTAGAAGTTCCTAACTGAATCGTTCTGGGTTCCTTTATCTCTAGTTGCGCTCCACTGGACAGCTTCTCAGAGTACAGGCAATGTAGGGATTTTCCATTACAATGGTGTCAGAGAACGAAGGACAAACACATTTTTTTTAAAAAAGCAATCAAATTCTGCCCATTGATTTTTATCAGGATGCTAAAATCCTATGAAAAGATTGTGGTCACGTGGCGATTTGGAAACTAGCAGAAAAGTTATTCCTCAAAAGAACTGTAGTCACGAGATGTGTCATCCCTTACCAAAAAAAAAAAAAAAAGGCAATACGTCCAGCAACTATTTGTTCAGCACTTAAAATTTTCATCTTGCCTTTTGACTAAGTTGGAAGAAAAAAGGGAACGCAATTGTGAAACATTAGGCAGTGTCTGAATCAGATAATGCCTCCAAAACGCCTGCATCCTCTAAGACTGGCTTTACTTTCCGAATTCCTTACCCGAATGGTCATAAGAACAAGCACGTTCTGCTAGGCTGAACTTCAGAGGTCGCCAAAATCAAGTCGTGGGAGCGCCTTTGTTTTCCCTACATTAATCATTCGGGTGTAGCGTTTGGTTTGGAGTGTGTGGATGTGTGTCCCGGAGTGGCTAGGGAAAGGCTGGCGTGTACGTGTGTTCCCAGGTGACTGCGTGCATTTCTCCGTGTGTATGTGCACGGGTGTCCGGGCTTTTGTACCTCCCTCTCTAGTGTTTCTGTGCATCCCCGTGTGTGTGTTGTGTTTCCATGTGTGTTCCTCTCCCCGGGGATGCTGGGACCCGTCTTTCCTCCTGCGTGAGACAGGAGGCAGGGAGACAACCAGCCGTCCCCTCACCCAGGGCGGCCTTGTGACCCACGGTAGCCCCGCGCGCACCGCACCCTGCCCCAGCTGACCGAGGCCTGAGCCGCCCCCTCAGACCCCGATACCCGCGCGCCCCGCCCGGCCCCGAAGGAGTCCCGAGTCCCGCTCACCTCGCGGACACACGGAAGACTGCCCAGGAGCTCTGGGTCGGCCCGTCTGGGTGCTATGAAGACAGAGAGGTGGGTCGGGGACCTGCAAAGCAGGAGGTGGCGGCGGTAGCGCAGCCAGGCTCCAGCTCCAGCTGCTCCCGTCCAGCGCGGAGGGAACAACATGGCGACGGGCCGGGGCGGGGCCAGGGGAAAAGTGGGGCGGGGCCCTGGGAGGCGGGGCCTAGAAGGCGGGGTCCGGCGGCCAAGACCTTGGGAGAGGGGCCCGGGGGAGGTGGAACCCAAGCAGGCGAGGCCTGAATCGTACTTTTCCTTCGAGTCGATTGCTCTTCGTGGGTCCTCCAGTCTGCGTTCGGGCGAGAGCGAGTACGAAATAACTGTCATTTTGAAAGTTTATATAAAGTGGAAATAAACAGAACTCATGAGACAGGATGTCGTGATTACAACGATAAAAACGACTAGGCACACTGACAAAGAACAAACAGGTAGATGAAAAATGAAAACAGTTGTGATATTGTGGAAAAACAACAACTTTTAAAATGAAGCTATTAAAACTTTCCTTTAATCTTGTTAAAATACTGCCTCTGTCTCTCTGAATAGAAAGCGATGATGCAAAAGGTGGTATTAGAGAAGCTCTCCTTAAGTCCTTGCTTTATGTATGAAGCTGAGTGCAGAATCCTATGATACTGAACCCTACAGGGGAGAGGGACTCTTAGGGACATCTCAATACATTTTGTAAGACAGATTTAGTTTATCAGAGAACCAAATACCGCATGTTCTCACTTATAAGTAGAAGCTAAATGATGAGAACACATGGTCACATAGAGAGGAACAACAAACACCGGGCCCACTTGAGGGTGGAGTGTGTGAGGAGGGAACCGAGCAGAAAAAAACTAGGTATCAGGTACTATGCTTATTACCTGGATAACTAAATAATCTGTACACCAAGCCCTCTCGACAGGCAGTTTACACGTGACGAACCTGCACATGTAACCCTAAACCTAAAATAAAAGGTTTTTAAAAAAAGATTTAGTCTGTTTATTTTCCAGGACAAAGATCTCACTTTTATGATGTTGGGGGCCACAACAATTTAATCTCCAGCTCTTTGGGGAGTCATTTTCAGGAAATTACTTTTCATTCAGCACTACAAAGGTCATATTTGAGAAAGTTCCTCACAAATTAAAAAGGCAATTTTAGAGTACTTCTGAAATTGACACATAAGCTTAAATAATTTTTTTCTCATAAACAGAAATATATTTCTGATCTGCACTTCATTTCCCCAAGGAAATTTGTATAAATGTCTATAAAATGCAAATCCGTTAAATTGGGAGGAAGAAGAGATATACGTTATCTTGTTTTAAAATACATATTAAAAGTACACAGTAAAGCATTATATATAAACATTAGAATTAATTTTCCAGTAGAAAAAAAGACATGTATTTGGGTCAAATTGCAACAAGCAATCCACAGGGTAATTAAAGAAATGCCACCTGAAAATCATACATCCTAACCATAGTCAAGGAATGATGGAATAGGAGTTTATCTTTGCAACTGCTAATACCAACCAGCTAGTAACAAGTGATCTCATGAAATTATTGAATTTTGAGTTAAAGCGAACCTTGAGAAACTCAACAGCTTTCATAAAAATGACCTAAGAAGGTTCCATGAGTGACTCTTAGGCTGTTCCAAAATGCAAGAAGGCATTCAAACATATTTGAGTGTAGCTTACAGTAACTGAAGAAAGAATAAGGAAAGTTACTTTTTCTAAAATAACCATCAGTTGGATTCTAGCCAACTGATATTTAAGAATGTTAGTATATTGCGGTCTCTTCCACCACTCACTTATTAACCTCATGTCTATATCAGTGCAAGAGTAGAGTGGGTCAAAAGATTTTTCTTTGAATGGCAAGTTTGGGGGATTTTTGTTGTTGGATGTGTGTGGTTGGTAAGCTAATGCAAGTAGGATAGACAGTCTCTATCTCTCTTGCTCCATAAACTTCTTCCTTGATGAAAACATTCAAGAACCTACCTAGTTTGACTCCCTTCATCTAATGAGGATTTTCATCTTTATATTCTGTAAACACCAATGCATCATTCATGGAAGAGAAAGAGGCCAAAGTTGCTATGCATAAATGATTCTTTTATTTAAATGACACCTACTTATTACTATGAGTACTGGGAGTTAATACCCTATCTCAACCTGGAGACTGAAAGAAATCACTTCTGACATCTCTGATGAAAAGCTTCAAGTGGCCGGACATGGTGGCTCACGCCTGTAATCCCTGCACTTTGAGAGGCTGAGGCAGGCAGATCACAAGGTCAGGAGTTCGAGACCAACGTGGCCAACATGGTGAAACCCCATCTACACTAAAAATACAAAAAAATTAGCTGAGCATGGTGGTGCGCACCTGTAATCTCAGCAACTTGGGAGGCTGAGGCAGGAGAATCACTTGAACCCAGGAGGTAGAGGTTGCAGTGAGCTGAGATTGCATGCCACTGCATTCAAGCCTGGGCAACAGAGTGAGACTTTGTCTCAACAACAACAAAAAAGCCTACAAGTAAGTGGGCCCTAGACTCAGGTACAGTAGATACTAATGGTAATTGAACTGCTTTTACTTTCACATACAAGGAAAAACACAGAACTCAGTTGTAGGCCATTTCACCATTATATTACATATTTAAATGGTCACAAATTTGATATTTTTCTTAAGTCATTTGGCCAAATAAGAGATTTGGTCATAATATTGCATAAATGTTCTTTTATAGCTGTACTAAGAAGGAGAAAAGCATAAAATATACATAAAATATTTTATGTAACTCAAAATTTGTTATATTTGGCTTTAAAGTCAAACCAGAGTGAAAATTTATAACAACATATAATGTTAAATAAAAAAGAACACTGGCAAATAGTATATGGAAGAAAAATCCCTATTTAGTTGAGGAAGCATTTTTTATAATACATAGCTTTCCAACATTCATTGCAATATTTAATAATGCATTTATTTATATACTTACCTATTTGTATAATATATACATCTTCGATATTTTAAACCAATGCCACACTTATCCAGTTTGCCTGGAAACTAAGTTCAACATGTTTCCTGCACTAATACAGAACTTTTGATAATGATTCTTAAGTCAGATAAAATTTAAATGTATGAGGAAATGCCAGAAATCAGATTTCTTCACTGCTCCACTTAAAAAGGAGTTCTCAAGCAAAAATGCATAGGAGCATCATCTTTAACCTACATATCACCAGTGAGCAAATTTCAGAATTTCTGGACTCAGATTGATGTGAGCAAATGAAAATTCTGTCCCTCAACCAAATAGATTTCATTAGTTCCATGAATTCTATCCAGTGGATGCTGTCGAATGGCAACCTGGGTGTCAAAAGCCATTGCCGTCCTTCCTTTTGTCAGCCTACACATTGTCACAAGGGAGGAGGGCATGGCAGGCAGAATCCAACACAACTCACGCCTGTCAAGTTTGTGGGTAACCACCACACTCACCCAAATCAATGCCTGCAGCATAGACATACATTTACTGTCTCTTCCCTTGGGTGATTTTAAGATTTGCAGGAAATGAAAATTCAATTCATGTTAATACTTATTTATTCAACAAATGTATATTGAGTGTGTACACTGTGCTAGGTGCTGAGAATACAGTAGTGAATAAGACACGGGAGGAATTCAGGGGATGTCCCCAGCCACCATCCTCTTCTCTGAGGACAACCACTCTCCTCCACACTTTGGCTCTCATCCACCAGCTTTTTAAAAAATGTTATAGGACTTTATCTTGGTGAACAAAATAGATTCAGTTCCTTTCCTAGGAGAGCTTAGAGAACATTGGAGGGGACATTCAATAAGTAACTAAACAAATGTGTAGTTACAAAAGGACTCAGGGCCTTGAAGAAAATAATCAAGGCCCAGTAGATGGGAATATCGGGTGATAATACCAAAGAAGACAGGAATGAGGAGGTGACTCAGGCCGAGCCCTAAGAATGAGCAGGCAGCAGTGGGAAGGGCTTTGGAAAGAGTGGTGCAAGTTTTGTAAACAAGGCCACAAATAGCATATAGCAGCTTTCAATAAATCTGTCTAAATAAAGAAAACAGGCAAACTACTATAATTAAATTTTCATAACTGGTGGAAGAACTTAAAATTGTAATGTTTTCTCTAACGATACAAGATCTAATGTATTCTCTTAAAAATAATATGTGTATGTTGAATAGTGCTGCACTTTCTCGATGACACTCTAAATATAGCTTAACTCAGTTAATTAAAAACGGCAAAATGGAACAAGCATTAAAATTCAGGAATGAAGTGGGGAATTCAAGCCCTTTGCTGATTTGCTGATGAATGTGAGTCAAAAACTGAACTTAAGCTTCAAAGCAATAGAAGGAAAATCACATATACACCATAGATACAATTATGTAAAAAGTATGTGTGTGTGTGTGTGTGTATGAGTGTGTACATGAGTGTTTATAAACAAAAGAATGGAAAGCAACAAGGAAAATCAAAGCAGTTGAATTATTATGGCAGTAGGATTCTGAGTAATTTGTATTTAAATTTTGGATTTCATGTTATAATATTATTTTGGGCAATAAGTGGAAGTTTTTCAATGAAGCAATGTTAAGAAACCGTTAAAAGTACTTCATAAGGCCTCACAACGTAATCTTTGCCTTAGGCTATAATAGCGCAAAACAAAAGTCCAGTTACCTTGGCAACTATTTCCTTCAGACATAAGCCCACACAGACGTGTCCAAAACCAAGTGTACTGCTCCTAAGACTGAGGATACTGATGCTAAAGTGTTCCTCTTCCAGCCTCTTATGGTATTCTATCTAAATACACAGTGCTCATTTGCAGCTTTCTTTACCTTTTAAGAGCTGAGATCGCCATCATCCTGACATAACCAGCTTCTTATCCTCTCACCTTCGCTAACCTTACTCCATCCACAGGAGTATAAATAATCCAAGCTGGTGCTGGATCCTAGTCACAGCTACAGCTAGGCTCTAGCTAAACAAAATCCCTAATTAAGTTTGATAAATCCCTCACTCTATCTGCCTAAAAGAGGAAAGGGGGAATTCTCACTGGTAGAAGACATTATGTGGAGCATTTCTGTTTCATTTATATACTATGTCTGGCATGCAATAAAAAAGTATTAGACATGCAAAGAGGGAGGAAGAAGTGACT